ATTCTTCTTTACCTCAATGTCGTCGCCAATCCTGACTCGGGCGAGATTGCTAATCGCGGTGTTGAATTTGAAATTGAAGCCAAGCTGGGAACTCTGATTGACAAGGACACGAACGAGCGCGTGGAAAAGTTCGTTACGACGGCTTGCCTGCTGCACGACACGGGCCGCATCGCCTTTCGTAGCAGCATGACAGCGGTATGTGGCCCAACAGTCTTCTCGTCATGAATGTCGCTGACTCCTTTTTAGGCTCAACACAAGGGCATGAACCAGTGGCTCAACGACAAGGTGTTAAATACGAATCCTCAGAATCCTGATCCTCGGGTCAGAGACCGTGTACAGGTGCAATACAAGCATCGCCGCGAAGTCGACAAGTTCTTCGAGATCCCGAGCCAGCTGCAGGGCCGCCTTCCAGGCTGCGTACGGGCACGCATCAACCCGAAGCACAGTGTCAAGGTTCGCGTCACGTACGACCAGAAAACCGAAAAGCCTCTGGCCAAGATTGTCAAAGCACGCGTTGCCGACATTAATCTTCACATGCCCAACGCGCCGCTTGACTGTCGCATCAGCATCAATCTCGAAGCGGCCTGGGACGGCCCCATTGAGGAGCTCGAGCAGATCGCCGTCGGCCACGGCAACAAGTTCCCCGATCGCAGCAAGGACCGGCTCAGCTACACGCAGAGCCATTATCAGGTGGACCTGACTCAGGTGACTCAGACAGTACCTGGTCCAGGGGTATGTTTTGGCCCTCCTCTGTTTTCCGTCTTCTTGACATGCTTGATGCTGATCCGAACGTAGAACACGCAACGCGTCGATAAAGAGCACGAACTCGAAATTGAGCTCGCGCCCCATGTGACCATTGATCAAGGCCAGCGAGCCACGAGCGGTCAGCCCCACAAGTACCCCGAGCTGATCGAGGGTTTCGTGGACAACATCCGCATTCTGGCCCGCGCCGCGGGTGATTTTGTATGATAACCAAGAGAGGAAAAATCAAAAAATGACGTACGACGAGCATACGGGGGTTGTGCATTATCGTGGAGCAGGGAAATTCTTTCTTGTTGTTCTTTCACCACAGCTTATTCTTCTTTTTCCCAAGACTGGTCATTAGGCTTCTATACCAGGCGTGTGTGCGCGGAGTCATGGCAAGGGGTTGGGGGCGCGATAGGTATGTGTGTGTGTGTATGTGTGTTTGGGACGACGGGAGCGAGCAAGGCCGTCATTGTAGCACAGAGACGGCTGTGGAGGGTTTGTGAGCAGGCAATTGATGGCATGCTGCTGAGTTCAGACGATACTACCGGTAGTATCGTGATGTGACAATGTGCCATTCGTGAGAGTCGACAGCACGCCACACATTATGTCAGGTACCCGCAGTCTGAAGGACTGGATCTTTCGGCTCGATACACGACGCGTAGGCTTTCCACAAAGTGGCATGAGCTCATGGCCTGAATCCCCATCACAGGGAGACAAAGTGTCACCACCCACAGGATGACTTGCAGTGGTCTGGCAATGCGGATATGCGCGGCATCGACAGGCTTGTAGGTCATGTCGTGGGTAGCAGAAGCCTCTGCAGCCTCGAACACAGCCCAGATGCGGCGCCCTGCCCGAGGACCTCGTCAAGGTAGCACTGAGACTTGACTGGACCTTCATTGTACAGTGCGCGATCGCGGGTACTGCAATGCTGTCTCCGATCGATGCTGCATTTTCGGGCTGGGCTGGAATTCCACACTCTCTATACCATTGTCTCGACAGCATGAACCCATTTTCAGACTTGACACGCATCAGAAGCGTGCTGTGTCACATTGACTTCTACGGGCTCCAGTCCCAAAATGCCTCGACCAGGAATCCTGATAATGGCATTCTAGTGCTCGTGGTAGGGTGCCTCTTTACTTGTTATGGTGTTTATGTATCATTGAACAGTACCAAGTCGGTGCTCGACCCGACTGCATGAGCAGTGAACCGTCATCTTTCTTTTCTCACACCTCACGTTGTATTCTTTGTCTTCAGATTACATCAGTCATCTCAGGTCGACAATACAACGCATTACCATTACGACAAAGACATGGAAGGGGTCATTGTCGAGGAGCTACTCGTCAAAAGCTGCTTAAAATACATTGCATTAGACTGACCCGATAGCAACTTGATGTTGTCGTCAAAGAAAAAGGAGGCTTGGAGGGAGATGGCTACTTGTATATCTAACCTTTCTGTTGCAGTTAAATCCTTCAATCACATAACAAACCCCACGTTCTCCACGTCAACTCGCACGGCACTCAACCAAACTCCCATCCACGGAATCCGCAGAATGACAACCTACTCCTCCAGCCCAGTGGCCACCTTCCTCTTCCCCACCGCCTTCGTCCTCTTCACCCTCCTCATCGCCTCCACCGAAGCCCTCGCCCTCATCCTCAAGCCCCTGAGCGGCCTCATCGTCCAGTCCGTCGTCTACTGGGCCATAGCCCTCGCCGTCTGGAGCGAGCCCAACGATGAGACGATGGTCAAGGCCTTCCTGTTCCTCGCCATGCTCTCCTTCCTGCTCATGCAGGTGCGCAGCAAGCGCGTGCCCCAGCCCTTCATCCGCGCCGTGCTGGGCCTCGTGTCCCTGGCCGTGATTGCCCATGACTGCACGATCGGGTTCCTCGGGACGCAGGCCGTCATGTTGAGGGTCATGATGCTCCTGCTGCGAGCGAGGAACGTCCATGCCGTCATGGGGCGTAGCAGGGCCGTGCAGTTCTTTGCGAGCTGAGCGGAGCGTGCCGGACTTGAGATGAAGGGATCTCGATATTGATAGCAGAGGTAATCAGTTGTCGAAGGTCGTTTTCCAGGCGTTCTTACTTTGCATCTCTTTGCGCTGGACTTGTATTGAGGGAGGGCAGCATCCAGATGAGACGGGTCCGTTATCTGTTCAAAGTAAACTCTCGGTGAACAGTCTCATGTATTTGTAGGGTATTGACATTATACATATAGTATCTTCTATGACTCGCTTTGAATAAACCTAGTACTGGTATCTTCCCTGACCTGGTGTCGCATTTAGATTCGTAAAATAGCCATCGAAATCGGTACCCGCATAGGGTGACAGATTTGACTCCCGTCTCTCCTCCATCTGAGTTCCGTCGCCATCCGCAGTCCCTTGCCGTCTTTGTCGCAATGTCTCTCTGCCCACCCAACTGAGGTACACCGTCTCGTGCACCTGCACCAGCCCACCACTTCTCCTCGGGTCGACACGTGCACTACTACCCTCAACGTCGCTCTTGCCCGACCCCTCTGCGGGCTCAAATTCTGGTCGCTTCTCGACAACGAACACGCGGTGGTCCTTGCGGTCGATATGCTTCGCCACACCAACGAAGCCGAGGAACCATGCAATTCCGAGGCCGATGACGCACCATGAGACGGTTGGGACGATCCACCATTCCGCCTTCGGTTTGGTGAGTTGTTCATAGAGACCTGTTGGAGGCACCCAGGTCGCGATCACTGGGTACAAGCCGCCAGCCATGTATACAGAGGCAGCGATAATGCTCACCACCGGGTTGATGCCCTTTCCTGTCAAATCTGTCCAGGTAGGGTTTTCCGGGATGGTTTGGTCGTTGGGTTCGTCGCCATCCCGGTTTACGGCCGTCGGAGGCGGGCCGCGGAAGCGAAGAATCAAAATTCCAAGTCCGAGGAATGTACTCATGAAGGCAGTAACAACATAGGCACTCCACGAAGTGAGTAGAGTGTACGCCTCCGTGGGTTTCATGCCCCACGTGGCGAAGATGAGAACGAGACAGCTGACGAAATGAAGCACGAGCGCGCCGACCGGCGTCTTCTCGCTGTGTTCTTCGGGCGAGAACCAACTTAGGCGCATAATTGACTTGAACATGCCGTGCTTTTGGAACCATCGCATGACTCGACCAACGCTCATGTCTGTGTTCTGAGAGAAGAACTTGGGAAAGGGAAGAATGCCTTCTTTGGCAATCTCTTGCTTGACACGGGCCGCAGTGTACGTCTGTGCAGACTTAGCATCATAAATTAAGAATGGGAGTGTTCGACGTACCATGACAATGATGTTGCCCAATGAAGACACTGCCAGAAGACCGTTGAAGATCCGAAGTCCAGTATCCCTGCCGCCGTCGAGGTGGCCAAGGGTAAGCTCAAAGAACTGCTCGGCCACACTGCGATCGACGTTGATCTGGTCGAGTTTGGGCACCACAACCATCTGGCCAAGGGTCAGCGGGGAGGCTATTAGGCGTTGGACGGCTCAACTCACGTAGCTCAGGTTCACAGCGAGGTATAGTACCAAGACGATACCTACACCCGTGCTCATGGCGCGTGGGAACTTCTTCCTTGGTCGGCTGATCTCGCCCAAGACATAGTTGGGCTGTTCAAAGCCGGAGAAGGAAAATATAATAGCCAGAAAAGCATGAGCGTAGCCGTTTGGTTGGTTCGACCCGCCTCGGAACGAGTTATCCGCGGAGATATTGTCGGTGAAGACGTTCTCTGTCTTGGGCAGAGCATTGCCACCAACACACGCCGCTGTGATGATAATAAGCAGCATGATGCCGACCTTCACAATAGCCAATGTGTTATTGAGCCAGAGACCCCCGCGACGTGAGATGGCGTGAATGAAGCAGGTTAAGGTGGCGACGGCCATGGCAATCCCCCTCACAGCACCATTGGAAGGGTCTTGAACGTTTGCAGCAAGCAGAACGCGATGCGCAAAATTGATCGAGTTACCAGCCATATTGCCCAGGATGATAAAGGAGATGCCGAAGATGCACGTCGAAAGTAAAACGGTGTTTTTACGATAGGCGGGCTTCGTGTATACGTATTGAAGGTAATTGAGGTCTCCACCGCTTCGAGGGACACTCTGTTCAACACCATTGATGACATAGCGAGGGATGTTCAGGCCGTATTCGATGTAAACGTGAGTACCGCAGATGCAGTAGATGATCCCGGCGACCCAGAAGAGCAGTGATGCGCCAGTGCTCATCGTTCCCTGGATTACGCGCTGGGGCGACATGAAGATGCCGGTGCCTTGCCGAGGAGAGATGAACGGGTTAGCCCAAGAGCCAGCGCATCATGAGAAGTGCGACAAGCTCACCAATCATGCGATTAATCACCAGACAGCTGACAGTGAAATATCCCAAACGAAAACGCTCCTTGGGCGCATATGTCACGATACCGTTGCCATTGGATTCGTCGTAGAGATCAGCTCGATCTGAATCTATTGAGTGAGCATCGCGATCTCGGGCTGGCTCCTGCCGGATGCCAGCAGAGCTGGGGAAGTCATCCATGACGGAGACGAGGCAGAGCAGATGGGCCTGCCAGTCAAGGAGTGGGCGGCGTGTGTGTGGCGATGGGCCAGTCTCTCATGGAAAGGCTAGAGGGAGAGGCCAGAGTATGGAACGTCAGAGCCCGAAGAGGAGCGCGCAGATGATGAACAGAGAAACGAGGCGCGTCTCGTAGTGCGAGGCTCTGTGGGCAGCAATCTCTATGTAAATCACGTCGGTTGACGGGCATGGCTCAGGCCGCGCTCGCTGGTGGAACGCCTTGACATTGTGCTATATGCAGACGGCCAGTAATCGTGCCGAACATCCAGCTTCCAGAGGGTGACTGGGGGCTGCCACATGGTGGTCACAAGACAAAATTATGAGTCGAATGCAAGGCAGGCCAAGCCGAACCAATCCAGGAGAAGCAAGACGGGAGGCAGGACATGCCGCCACAGGAGCCACAGCCTCGCTGTCGAGTATGCCTCGCTGGGTGCTGCATGGCATTGGGGAGCAGGACTGCCCTTGAACATTGCGCCGTGGTGCCATCCGATGAAGCCAAGCCTGATCAGGGAGATGGCGTCTTGCCGACGAGGTGATCGTCGAGGGGTTGAGCGAATAGGCGACGAACGGAAGGCAGACTGGTTGATGCAGGCGATGTCCGAAACGATAGCGGGAGTTGCTGTCACGGGAGGCTTGAGGGGGCGGTGGTATGCCTGACCGCCAGAAGAGGCTCTCGGTGTGCCTAATGCATGGAGCTATGGAGAGAAGGACGAGGACAAGCTGTTCAGCTTTCAGATCACTGCCACAACGGATAGACGAACCTCCACTGGCGGGCCAATGCGAAGCTTAAGTTTCCCAGGGGAGGCGCTACCATCACGAACCGCTAAGGACGAAAGGGGAATGGCCGCTGCTTGTGTCTGCCGCATCTATTGGTCGTCTGCCGTGCTGGGAAGCGAGGACCCAGACTGTCTCCCTGGCTCTTGCCTGCCTTATTACCACTTTGACACCTGCTGCGCTGTTACCAAGGTAAAGAGGTACAGTAGGTAGTGGGGTGCTCCTGCTTTGCCTCGTCTTTGCAGAGACCCTGGCATGGCACCTGCTCGCTCGCCTTATCGCTGGAACAAGCTGCGGGCGGGACATGTGCAACCCGCCCGCTGTTCGTCAGATGTCTCGTGTCTCCCCTCTTGTCTCTGACCTTACCTTGGCTTCACAGCATCTAAGCCTCCCTCATGCCCCTCTTCCCCAGACCTACCCAGATGTGCCAGAGTTGTTGGCACACTCATTCATGACACGTCACTTGCCATGGTCTGTTTCCCAGGCGCGGGTTGTATCACCGCACCATGTCGTACAGGGTCCCCACCGATATTCATCGGCCAGGAACAGAGTCAGGTTTCAGGCAACTACTACAACAGGACCCGGGACTCTGGTCTCAGGTGCCTCCCATCTACATGAGCTACTTATCTAGGTAGCCACTTTGCGTGGTTTTGCCAGGATTCCAGCCCGCATATCTGTTCAAACAGCCCCCAACGGAACCTCTGGGCCGGCGTCCCCCCGGACTGGGGTGAATACATGATAGTGGTCTCCCTGCATCGCCCAGCACTCAGGGACGGCTCGCCTCATTCTGGCGTGGCCCCCATCCTTTCTCTCTGTCACCCTCTCCCTCCTCGTCGCATGCCTCCGGCCGAGAAACACACCGACCCTACAGACTAAGCCTCGCATCCATCTTCGAAAACGGCGCACGCGGCTATTCGACTCAGCCACAAGGTCTCCTTGACGGACCTGTCCGGCTTCACTTCCAACGGGCTGGTAGTCCTGCGCTGCCAGCAGATCGAACGAACACCTGGTCTGGTCGTTGCCTTTCCTCGTCCATCTTTCCTTGTGCTACGTGCAAAGTCCAGCTGAGTGCTGCCCTGGAGACCGATAGACCCCTACCCGCATCGTGCTGATCGGGAGAATGACGACGCCCCGTATGCGCGTGTGACATCTCCACGTTCAAGCATTTCCCTTGAAAATCACAACCAGCCCTCCACCCTCTCTCGTTCTCTCTCTTGTGCCTGGTCTTTCCTTCCTGATCTCCGTTTTGCTTGCCGCATCTGACACGACTGGAAATCCCCTTGGTATCACCAACGACACCATCTGCATGGTCGCTCCTTAAAGGAGCCCAACACCTCTTCATGGCTGGTCTCGTTCAAGCAGGCGACTTGATCAACTTTGGAAGACTTGCCTGGCAGGTTTACCAGTACGGCTGGCAAGACGAACATAACGCAAGTAAGTTGCCTTTGTGCTATGCATCCCGGCAGAATGCGACTTTGCGCTATCTCGGTATTTCGAGTACCCCGCGCAGTGCCTTGCCCGCGGCCAACTTAGTAGTCACATCCCTACCCTCACTGTTAGCCCCGAGATGTTCTCCACTCTACCAAGTCAACGCGCAATGGCATAAGTTATCAGGGCAAATGCTGACCCCTGACCAGCAAGACAATACTTTGAGTTTGGCAGAGATGTCAAAGGCCTGGCTGAGAACCTCAACATCCTGAGTCGAGTCCTTGCTCAAGCAAATCAGTCACTTCGCGAGCAGGGCGCCTACAATACGCCTGTCAGATGGGACGAGGCATCACTCCTTGAGATCATCGGGTGACTACCGGATAAACGCTGCAAGAATGTTACGAGTTGGTCGAAACGAACACTCGGAACCGTCTCAGCGGCGGTCCTGTGCGGAACATTGAGTGGAATGTTCTTGTACAGCCGAATGCCGATCGCCTGCGTCAGAGGCTGCTGCTTCACAACTCCAAAGTTCTCCTGGTTCTGAAGCCTTTTGAGATGTAAGTCAAGGCCGTAGGCACATAACCTTCTGAAGGAACTGACGACTTCACAGTGACCTTCTTTGCCGAGTTCATCAGGACTTAGCAGACAGGATCCAAGCTGTACACGTTGATCTACGTCGCCTTATCGGTATTCTTGTCCCCAACATGGAGCAGGCGCTCGCCCAACAAGAAGTCCGCGATATTCACATGCTTGAGATTCCACCACGCGTGAGCGAAGCCTTTAGGCGAGCGGCCATGCAAGAGAAGCTTGAGTATGAAGACGACATGAATCTGGATCTTGAGGAAATGGCGGACGCTTTTGTTCTACACTATGGCAACTCGACGCGCGACTTCGTTTCTGGCATGTTAGTCGAGAACAGGGTACCGCGCCCCGAGCAGTACATCAACCTCCTTAAATGTGTCTGGTTAATGCAGCGAATCCGAGAATCGCCCAAGTTGAAGCAGCCTGCTCCCGAGTCGCATTGGCCGTCATACGTCAAACAACTGGAAGATGTCAGTTGTCAAAGGTGATACACTTCAGACACATGCTGACATCAGATGCAGGACCTTTCGTCCCAATGCGAGCGTTTCGAGCCGAGGCAAGAACTTGTGGCGCCAGATGTCATGAGCCTGACAAGAGATATGCTCGAAATTTGGCCTGAAAAAGAGCTGCCGCAGCTGATCGACGTTGTGACGCGGGACGAACTTATGGAAGAAGTCTTAGAGGTGTACGTCTACCCCGCATTCTGCAATGCGACAACACAAGAACTTATTTTCCCAGGCCTCTGAACGGGACAGCCAACAACGTGCAGCGCAACCTCCAGCTGCTGCGGCGAATGGGAGCAGATAACAGGCGATTTCGGGTTAACCTAACAGGCGTCGAGCAGCCTGTTGCAGGACGAGCGCGCCGCCAGGGTATGTTCTCGATATCTACACGACTCGTTTATGATACGCAGCATTGCTAACGTGCTCTATTCTCCAGCCGAAACGATTGATTTTGACATCTCAACTGTCACCATCAACCCGCTGTATGCTGTGCCCTCTCCAATAGGGGGCATGGATGTCATCCTACGACGAGATGAAAGAATTGCCAGATTGGCATTCCAGAACCTCAAAGACATCCTCAAATTCCAACAGGCTGTGACGGGATTCAAAACGTGGGCATCGCACGTTCAGTATGTCTTAAGACGCCGCATGCGCCCCAAACGATATCTCTCTGCTGACACTCCAAAGGTTCAACGCTTTGGTGAGCTTCATCATATCTGGAAGGAGGGACCCCATTGTTGAGAAGGCTTGCATTCAACTCTGGATTCCGAAGCAGCTGGATGGTAGACTTGTTACTGGCGCTGACGTGGCAGCTGATGCATCCACATCAGCGCCCACTGAAGCCCCGTCACGATCTTCGACCCTCGTTGCATCACCCATGAGCGGTACTTTGCCTTTTTCTCCAAACAATGTCGACAGCATTTTTACAACACCGGATCCTTTCGGCGGTGCATCACGCGTCAGCACGATGCGCTCGCCGCCCTCGCCGAACCCTGGCGTCCAGCGGAACCCTCCTAGTGCATCTCCGCGCCACCCTATCAACATCCCACGTCGACCCGTCGCCTCAGGATCAGCAGCCTATGGGAGTCCCCCCCCTCAGAGGCAACCCAGCGTGACGCTCTCGCCGTTTGCTGGGAGTCCACCGGCGTCCAATGCCTTCCCTCCCGGCTGGTCCTATGCCCAGTCGCCGCCTCTCGGCCGCTCTCCAGCTCGCGATTCAAGTATATCAACGGTGCACAGCCGGACGTTTAGCATGTCGAGCAACGCTTCAGTGACAGCGCAGTCCAACACGAGCTCAAGTGGCAGTGATGCGCACACTGTCACTGTTTCCATTGCCGGGCGCACCACCGGAGGCACGCTCCATCGCAGGCCACCCAAGCCTCTGCTGGTCCTGTTCACCGAAAACCCGCAAACCGGCAAGCGGTCTTTCGTTGCTTTACCATTGGACGATGAAAACGCCGTGATCAACCCAGCGCGCTGTCACTGCGGACGTGCCGGTCGTGACGGTGCCGCGTGCACTATCGCGGCCCTCGAGAAGAGGGAGGGGCGCGTGGACTTGGAAGCGCGTCGATTTGAGAGCACCAACGGCGAGGCTGACTGGAATGTCGCAAAACTTGCGCTTGGGAGGCGGGAGGAAAGGGGCTACGACGAGGCGATATGGAGGAATCTGAGGCGACTCAGCATAAAGTACGTACTGCTTCCTTTTTTCCCTTTCTGATCCCTCGTCTTTGTGAACGAGTAACCGACTGGCATACGACAGATTCCCCGACGCAGCATCAAGGGCGGTATTTGGTGGGACGCCCGCGCAGTGCAGATGCAGTACTCGGACAGAAGCAGAGCTCAACAGGTGTCTCAAACAAGGACACAAGGGGTTTCTGGGTGAAGTTCAGGAGTGGTATAGACAGCGGGCGAATCAGTACCACGCGGCGCGGTATGAGTCTCAACAGCATGTCGTCAATGGAACTTTGAGTAGCCAGGTCCCTTTCTGAGGAGAGATAAGCTCAAGAGTGTGGGCGAGTTGTTAGAATACCCAAAGTAACTTTAAGATGAGAACGTGTCCATTTCTATGTCCAGTGCATGTGTGTGTCGGTGTTACAGTATATGAGGCACTGGCCTTGACATCTATCTTTTGGCCAAGACTGTCTGATCTGGTGCTTTCTCATGATAGATGGCACGGTACTGGTCATCCCTCTAAGCGCACCTCTCACGGTCTCGAGAGATGCTGCAACTCGTGAATCCTTCACTCATGTAGCTAGGGAGGCCTTCAGGCTAATCCTTACAGGGGCGTCCTTCCGTTCCGCTGCACCAGTTGTACAGGCCTCCTCGTTCTTTCGGCCTCCGCAAAAAAGCCCCCCTCCCCCCGCCGACAGGACGGTGATGTTCGGCCGGAACCCCACGTCTATAAATGATGCGCGACGCTGATCTGGGGCCGGAGTATGTTTTTCCACAACTCGGTGGAACTTGCGGGGTCGCATCCTTGGCAAGGAGCTGCCACTTTCGGCATGTTCTGTGTAGAAGAGCACATGTAACGGTTTCTTCAAGGAAGGCAATGGAGCAAAACATTCTCAAGTCAAAGCGTGCTCTTGCTGCCGGGCAAGTTCAGACCGAGAGAGAAGGCAATGCCCGAGATCCAGACGTCGTACATAAAGGTATCTTGCGTCTCCGGCCTGAGTCTTTCCTTGACCGCACGAAAACGAACAAGGAATTGGACGGGTAGAGCAGAAGGCGAACCATGAAAGCCTGCACGCTAGCCTTCCTCGCCACGGCAGCGGCGGCTGCGCGGTCCCCGGAAATTCCGTACTCACAGTGGATGACCGACTCGATGATCCGCAACGGCTACCAGCTTGCGCCGACGTTCCACTACGACGAAGCGACACTGGTACACGTCGTTCGAGGCCGTTTACAACGCCAATAAGAAACGAGACGGTGCTCGACTTTTACCCGAAGCCCCCGTGTATGCTGTCGGGGCTCGAGGACGGGGACGATCGGAGGGGTTCAACCACTCGGCACTAAAAGCCTCGAAAAACTACCGCTTTTGGGAAACAAACATTTCTCTGGGGGGAACGAGCGGGACGGGCCGAAAGAGCGGTTTCAAGGATTGCCGGCGGGGAAAGACCAAAAGACCAGCTTGGAACAGGCACCCGAGGACGCCGACGGGGGGGGTTCCTGGCCACAGGAACCGCCTTACCCCCCATGTTTACCCATGTGCCCCCAAGGCCTGCCCCGTTGCGCCAGCAAGAATTTTCATCTTAAA